AAGTGTGTGTGTGTGTGTGTGTGTGTGTGTGTGTGCGTGTGTGTGTGTGTATATATACATGGGTCAAAGACGTTAAGATGTCCGCATCAAAAGAAATTGACAAAAGTGATTTTATGTCCATAGAAAGCACACTGAATGTAAGTAAAGTGTCTACTTTTAAGTTTTTGGAGAATAAAATGTTAAAATTTGGTTGAAATAATGTTACATTGTCATTCAGTGTAACACAATATTTATGTAGAAATTCAAACAACATGCTTATTCTGACTTGTACATATTAAAATATATAAAAGAATAAGGGAGCATATTAAATTTTATTGTGTTTTAAATGAGTAAAAATTCTTACTGACAAATGGGCAAAAACCTAGCATAGTGGCAAATTTTAAAAATGTAAAATTACAACTAATTATTATTTGGGGTGAAAGTAATTAGTCTTTTAATATGTCATAAATTGACTTTTGTTGTAAATATGCCTGACCAGATTGAATGACATTTTAGTGGGTCTCTTCTGTAAATCAGGGAAGAATGTATGATATTTATTTTTTGCTCGGAAAAACAAAAACAAAATTGCAAATAAATGTTACTTTTTAATTTTTGGGGGGGAAAAACAACAACAATTTAAAGCAGTATTACACTTATTGTTTTTACGCTTAAACCCTTTTTCGTCTTTGACCCACATGTGAAAATGGGCTGAGAATTGAACAAATGGTTGTAATCTGGTTTAGAGGAAGAAAGGAATCGTGTTTGTGGTGTTTTTCAGTTGATTAAGGGAGAATACAAGACTTTTTCATTGCACAAATGGTTGTCTAAAGCAAAAACGCTACGGAGTGCATCATATCTTGTGAGAAAGCTGAGACCTGCTGGAGCTAAACAGCATCCAAAATTAGTAAGAAACGCAGGATTTCATTCAGATGCTGCAGGGCAGTCTCACTGACTAGAAGAACGTTATGTTTTTAGCTTGAAGACCGTAAATGATTTCATCTTCATTTTAAGGAGGTCTGCAGAAGTGAATGAATTGCACACTGGTCATTTTTGTTCATTGACGCAAAACCATCTGCCACAACAGGTCATATCTGCTTTAATGCACAATACAATTTCCATATACTATATACATATAAGCTTAATTCTTATTACTGTCGGTGTGAACAGGCCTTTAGTGAGTGAGTACAGTTACAGTATGATAATCAAATATGATTTCTGATCTTACCATGTGTGGCTCCTTGGCAGCCAGTTTTCTTTTCCCACTTTCTCAATACAGAACTTTTGCGGCCCATTGCTCCCTACAGAAATCACAACATACCTTCTGATCAAAAACATATTCTTTGAAGTGCAAGAGAAAGGACTGGCATTGCATTTAAACCAATAGGCTGTGCAGGCATTCAGCTATGTGAGTGTTTACTGCTTCCATACATGCAGTAGTAAAGGGAAGATACTATTTCATTGTGATGAAGTTTGAATACCTAGTTGTACATATCTACTTGAAGTTGCCCAAAGATTTTAAGTTCAAATTTCAAAAACATTTAAAAACACTCTTAACACGTTCAAGGTTTGATGATGTTAATTATTGGTTACATGACATGCAGGTAAACAAAATATGTTATCATTTTCTAGTAAGTTTATTTTATGTTGATTTAACATTGTTATGAATTAATTAATTCTTTACTTTCCATCAAACATGTTTGCCCGGTTTCACAGACTGGGCTTAGCTTAAGCCAGGACTAGGCCACAGTTCAAGTAGGATTTTAAAGTAATTTTTATAAACATGACTTAAAAAAACATTACTGGTGTGCAACTTGAGACAAAACAACACTGATATTGGTATTTCAAGATCAAACAGTGCAAGTTTCTTTCAGCTGAAACAGCTCAGACTTACACTTTAGTCAGGGACTAGGCTTAAGTCTTGTCTGTGAAACCGGGGTGGAGTTAAATATCAGAGACAGAATTAGTTTTTTTATTAATATCTTCAATTACTTTTTATTTTTTATATTTTCCATTTTTATTTTTAGTTCAGGGTTTAGTAATTTAGTTGGTTGTTTTTGCCTTTTTTATTATTATTTTTGTTTGTTTTACATGCCTACATATTTTAGACATATTTTATAGGTCTACATATTTTCATTATTTTAGTTTTGGTTATTTTAGTAAATATTTTAGTATTTTAGTTCCTTGCCAATTAGATGGGAAAAAAACATGTTTTTTTTAAATTAACCTTTTTTTTTTCCAAGTAACAAAAATGCTTTTGTATGGTTTTGGTTTATATATATATATGTGACCCTGGTCACAAAACCAGTCATAAGGGTCAATTTCTCGAAATTGAGATTTATACATCATCTGAATAAATAATCTTTCCATTGATGTATGGTTTGTTAGAATAGGACAATATTTGAAAAATCTAAATATTGAGAAAATCATCTTTAAAGTTGTCCAAATGAAGTTCTTAGCAATGCATATTACTAATCAAAAATTAAGTTTTGATATATTTACGGTAGGAAATGTACAAAATATCTTCATGGAACATGATCTTTACTTAATATCTTAATGATTTTTGGCATGAAAGAAAAATGGATAATTTTGTCCCATACAATGTATTGTTGGCTATTGCTACAAATATACCCCAGTGACTTAAGACTGCTTTTGTGCTTCAGGGTCACATATATATAATAACCTGGATCAAAACAGAAAGATACTAGATTACAGTCATTTTAATATATATTACCGATGATTTAGCATGACTCTTACCCATAAGGTCAGCGAATCCCCCGACAGGAAGTCGGCACGTGCCGGTCACAAACTGCAGCAGACGCATTCGCTTCTCATTGTCGATCTCCTTCACAAACTGAACACAGACAGACAAAAGCTGATGCATCACCAATACCAATATGACAGGATCTCCACATCTATGAACATCTGGGTTTAATTTAACCAGTGGTCTGATGTTGAAGTGTGAGATTAACAGCCTAACCTGCCAAAACCAGACGATCTGTTTGCTGCTGCGAGCGTAGTGTCTGTAGATGGTGCTCCTCTGCCAGTCGCCCAGATCGATCTCCTGCATCCCACACAGCATCACCTACAGCACAATTACACATTCAGAGCAGACAAAACACATTGTGTCTATGGCCTCATTTACACCTGATATTAACAGCAGACACAAAATATAGCTGAAAATGTCTTGTGACATTTGGAGCTCAGAGATGCATTTGTACAGAAAAAGCCTTTGAATGTTATGAAGTGTAGTTTGTACCTCCAGCTCTTTGGCATCAAAGTATTGCAGGTACTGCTGCGGCAAGACCTCATTAAAGCCCTCGAGAAACGCCTGAGTCTGTTCCTCAACACCTCTGGACAACCTCCACTCAGCAACCAACCTGCAACACGTTTTATTCCACAATCCCTCACTGATATTATGGCTAATAGTGCTGTAACTATATGCTGTTTGTCAAGATTCAAAATGCTTGCAATCTGAAAATAGGCTTATTATAATTATTTTATTATATAAATCATAATCATTAAAAAATATATTTTTAACAATTTTCAAAAATTAATCAATCTTTAGAATTTTCATTAGATATTTTTACAGTCCTAGTGGCCTTTTTTGTAAAAAAAAAAA